AAATTCAGCTGAGTACAAAACATAGAGAGGAAAACAAGGGAAAAGAAAAGAGGGACAAAACATAGAACAAATAATGTATGCCTATTCTATTAAAATTTCTGCATCTGTACAATGGGTCTGTTTTATGTTTTGTCTTCTCAATTCAGAGGGCCCCCTGCCTGTTTTTGCCTAGGGCCTCAAATTTCCTAAATCCACCCCTTCAAATCATAATACACACTCTGTTCATGCAGGAATGAATGCAGCCGTGAGAGCAACTGTCCGGGTAGGTCTGTACACTGGAGCCAAGGTGTACTTTGTTCATGAGGTGTGTACTACTTTTCTTTTTTTCTGTCACTTACAAGAAATACCATAGCCTGAACAATTTGAAATTGATATAATCAGTCATCTAAATAATTAGACAATTTAGTGCAATATTATGAAAACACTGACAACCAATAGGAAATAGTCTGAAATAGTTTTTAATCATCGGCATCACTTCAATGTCTAAATCTTTCATATAAGTTTGACTAAAGCACCTGTTTTAATGAAAGCATGCCTCTACTATAAATCTGAGGAAAAGCCTACTTTTAAGGATGTAATTCTCTGCTGAATGATGATGTGTTTTGTATCCGGATAGGGTTACCAGGGTCTGGTTGACGGGGGAGACAATATCCGCCCGGCTACCTGGGAAAGTGTGTCAATGATGCTGCAATTGGTGAGAACAAACACTTACAGGCAATGTTAATATGTGTACTATATATAGTCTCTGACATATACTAACAGTCTAGCTTTAACTCTCCATGGTTCAGCTTTGAAGGTCAAATAGTCAGTTAAATGCCAAGGTTCATTAGAAAGCAACACTTCAGGGACATGACCGTGCAGGTTTCAAATTCTACCACCCAAGCTGTTTCCGTGCCTTCTTGTCATTCTCATCTGAGACTGAAATCCTTTCTTCCTGTCTGACATCAGGGTGGAACTGTGATTGGTAGTGCCCGCTGTCAGGACTTCCGTACCAAGGAGGGTCGCACCAAGGCGGCCTGTAACTTGGTCAAGCTGGGCATCACCAACTTGTGTGTTATTGGAGGTGACGGCAGTCTCACAGGTGCCAACCAGTTCAGGACAGAGTGGAAAGACCTGCTGGTAGATCTGGTTAAAGCAGGTGAGCTTTAACCTCAAAGAGTTGTAAAAATGTGTGACATCAGCATCTTGTGAAGATGCAAATAAAATGTGATGTTTTTTAATGTGATCTCAGGAAAAATCACAACAGCTGAAGCAAAGAACTCTTCCCACCTCAATATTGTTGGCATGGTGGGCTCCATTGACAATGACTTCTGTGGAACTGATATGACCATTGGCACTGACAGTGCCCTGCATCGCATCATTGAAATAGTAGATGCCATTACAACCACAGCACAGAGGTATGCATGTCGGCTTAAAACATTTAAACACACAAACAGCAGGTGATTAAATTCAAGTCTTTGACGGCACATGTTTATGTTTTGTGTACAGTCACCAGAGGACCTTCATCTTGGAGGTAATGGGAAGGCACTGTGGGTAAGTATAGCTATCGTCTTTGTTTCAGGAACACTGGAGTAAAATGTCAATTTGTCAACTGCATAGCCATACTTTATATGATAGACAAACACATGTTTGTGCATGAAGCTGTTCTGTGAAGGTCAAAAAGGTTTGCTAGAGAATAACAGCATTATTAAGACCAGGGAACACAGCAGAAAGGTCAGGGATACGCAGGGGTCACCAACCTTTTTAAGACTGAGGGCTACCTTATGGTTACTAAGTCAGAGGAAGGGCTACCAATATTGACCTATGAACTGGAGGGGTCAGCCTTCACCTAAAATAGATAGTAAATATATGTTTGTTGATTCTTTTCTCAATTTCTAATTTTCTTTTAGATATTTTCATTTTGAAGTCTCTAAATCCTTAAATGCTCTACATGATTAATATGATGAAATGCCCTATGAATTATTGAAGAAGAAGAGCAACAGAATAAAATAATATTTCAAAATCAGACCACTGGTGAGTAGTTCTGTTTTCAGAAGTTGCTTAGGTCATCCAATTTTGGAAACATAGATACATTAATATAATTTTTTTTTTTTTATGTATTTATTTTTTAATGTTTTTCTTTTTTATAGTACTTTGGGGTGTTTTTGATGAAAAGTGCAGGATAAATTAAATGTATTATTTATTATTATTATTAAATGGCAGGTACATAAAAAAACAACAACATATCAAGTAAAACAATTACAGATCATTGAGGCTGCTTCAAATTAATGTGGTCCTTGAGGGCCCCTTTGTGCCTCCCGGCACCGTGTTGGTGACCCCTGATATATAAAGACATCTAAACTAAAACAATAATAATAATTAAAAAAAAAAAGACATGAACTCCTCAATTCAAAATTAATTCATTTAAAAAATAATGTATTAATTCCAAAAGGGAAATCCAGTAGTGCTGTTTCGTCCATCCTTGCAAAATGAAAAAAATATAGCAAACATAGCTTTGGTTGTCCACATAAACTAATGGGAAAGAAACATGTTCACATAAGCAGCAACCAAAAATAATAACTCTGGAGGGGTTGAAAAATCCAAACCCCTCAAGTAGGACAATTTGTTGAAAGGATAACTTACAGTATATAAGTGCAATCCCAAAATTAGACTTCTCTAGAAGAGTGTGTAGAAGAAATCCATTGCTAAGCGGAAGGCGTGAGAAATCCTACCTGTATGTATTTTAATTAATTTTTTGGAAATCCTATCTGTAGTTCAGAGGGGATTTACCTTTAGGCAATACTAGACCCAAGCATCTGGGGGGGGGGGGTTAAAACAACTATTTCTTATTTGTGCACATTAATTATGTACAACATGAAAAGTCAGCTGAGTACAAAACATATAAAGGAAAACAACAAGAAAAGAGACAAGAGGAGAGGGATAAAACATAGAACAAATAATGTATTTCTATTCAATTAATAGTTCTGTATCTCTATAATGGGTCTGTTTTATGTTTTGTTTTCTCAATTCAGAGGGCTCCCTGCTTGTGTTTGCCTAGGGCCCCAAATTTCTGCTGCTGTAATTTATTTAAAGCACTGCAGGAGACAAGCAAAATTTGGGACGGATTCCTCAATTAAATCATTTATCACCAAAATATGACTTGTTTTAACCTACATGCAAAATGATATGGCCCTGATCTACAAAAGGTTGGTGTTTAAAAAAAAAACTGTGCAAACTTTGACACAGAATTGTGTGAAAGGGCAGGTGATTTAGTGTCTTTGCCCTAATGAATCTGGAGAACTTACGCTCATCAACCAGACTGTGCAAAATACTTAGAGGAAGATATGCAGACATGATTACCTACTAACCACAACGTCAATCAACATTGTAACTTCTCAATATATTACCACCTAATTGTTTTGCAGGTACCTTGCCTTGGTGACTGCTCTGGCCTGTGGTGCTGATTGGGTATTCATCCCAGAGATGCCTCCAGAAGATGGATGGGAAGTACATCTTTGTAGAAGACTGACAGATGTAAATTTCCTGCTCTGTGTTGTGAAATTCATGCTTGATTTGGCTTCAGTCCTAAATCTTTATTGTGCAATTTAGCAAAGAGGACGGGGTTCCCGTTTGAATATCATCATTGTTGCAGAAGGAGCAATAGACCGTAAAGGAAAACCAATCACCTGTGATACAGTAAAACAGGTCAGTGCACCAGCAAACCAGAATATAGGCACAAATCATGTCAAGGAAATTACTCATAATCCATGCTTCTTTCCAGTTGGTATCAAAGCAGTTAGGCTTTGACACCCGCACCACCATCCTGGGCCATGTGCAGAGAGGAGGAACCCCGTCTGCTTTTGACAGGATTCTGGTAAACCTACAATAGACTAGTTGATCTACTCATGTTAAATACCACTGATCAATTATGTTGAAGCCACTCTTCTTCTATATTTACAACTCAGGCAAGCAGGATGGGTGTGGAGTCTGTGATGGCTCTGCTTGAAGCCACACCAGATACTCCTGCCTGTGTGGTCAGCTTGTCTGGTAACATGGCCGTTAGGCTGCCACTCATGGAATGTGTACAAGTGGTGAGTAATATATGTAACGCAATACATTACTAGACTTTGCACACAGTACAGTACAGTACATGGATAGAAATCACCGTTCAACAAGGCTTTTCAAAGGCAGCACATTTAAATTTTTGCCATTTTATAACCACATACTTTTAGGTAATGTGAGCTAGAAGTGCATTGTTCTTTCCTTTAAGTGTTGCCCTTAATTATCTATGGTGAATTATAGTGGTGGGGTAGTTTTTGAAAGGAACAGAAATGCGGTTCAAATATATGATGAAGCTGGAAAAGTTTATGTCAAAGGCTGCAAAACACTTGAAAGTTTCACCTTCAGGTAGGAAAGTGATCTTAAACATTTAGCCAGAACCACAATAGTATGCATGGTTCACATCAAATCCATGTTTTGCAATGGTCTAGTTGAGGTTTGGGCCCAAATTAACTCAATGTATAATAAACATTAAAAGTAAGTGAAGAAAAAAGTTGACAGCCCACTCGCCTAGCATAAAACAACGTATGTTGTTAAACCATGTATTATTTTCTTTTCACTTCACATTCAAGCAGTAACTTGTGTTGTTAGATCATAAAATCTTGAAGAAAATGACAGGAAGTTTACACTGCAATGTGACTAAATAAAGGCATTGGAAACTTTATAAATGGTTTTTTTTTGTGTGTGTGTGAAAACTATGTTTTGTTTTGTCAAAATGTATTCATTCTTTTTTCAAACCAGACTAAAGATGTAACTACAGCCATGGCTGAGGGGCGGTATGAAGATGCTATCAAGCTCAGGGGAAAGTAGGTCCAGCTCTGCCATTTCCATTTCTCTCCTCATGTGTTTAGTTTCAAATGAATGCTCATTTTTGCTTATTTGACAACAGGAGCTTTGAAAACAACTGGAACACCTATAAAATGCTAGCTCATGTGCACCCTCCAGAAACAAAGGTTAGAAAATACATTTGTAGGTCAGAAAACTATGTCAAAATTATTATTCACATTATACACATAATTTCAGAGCAATATCAACATTGCCTTACTGAACATCGGTGCTCCATGCGCGGGGATGAATGCTACTGTACGTTCAGCTGTCAGGATTGGGCTCCTACAGGGCCACCAGATGCTGGCAGTGCATGATGGCTTTGATGGCTTGGCACATGGAATGGTAAAGTATGAAATTTAGCTCAAAATGCTACATTTTTATGTTTTTACCAATGTTTAGCATTTAACCCTACAAAAAATATATGTGTATATATGTACATATATATAATATATATATATGTTTATATATTTTTGTTTTAAATATATTATATTGATACATAATCTTGTTTTATCATGACCGTGCAAAGCCTATATTTATTATGGTTAAAATGTTCTGCCTGTGAGCACAGATTGAGCCAATAGGTTGGTCTGGAGTGGCAGGATGGACTGGAAAGGGTGGTTCCATGCTTGGCACCAAGAGGTAAGCTGGTTCACTGCAGACGTGATTATTTAGGCTTCACTAGCCTAAATGTTATACTTTAATGAACATTGTTTGCCTTACTTAAGCACTTCTAAGGCCACAACGATCTTCTGTGATGTTGTTATTGTTGTTATGAAGGACTCTGCCTAAAGATCTGCTGGAGGAGATCAGTCTGAATATCACAAAATTCAACATCCATGGTCTTGTCATTATTGGGGGCTTTGAGGTAAGCTG